ATAAACATTAAACACAAATCCTAACTCAATCTTAATTTGTTTACTTTTCACACAACAATGAATTCCAGTCCACATTTCTTGGTATTCTCGCAGCTCTTGCTGTGTACCATTTGCAGGCACTGTAACCGTGGCACCACCTGCGGCACACAGCTGTCACACTGAAATCTGTAAAAGGGGGAAAAATAATTACCTTTAAGTGCAAAACACCAAATTCAGAAATTATCCCTTAAGGCAGGCTTCAACCAAATTATCAAAGTTTTAATATTCCTTAAAATAATTCTGTATTGCCATTGTAATGTGTTTGCAGCCATGACCATAATGATGCATTTTCTCGATGTTCTCCTGTCTTTACCCTTCCCCTGTGTGGCCAGTCTCTTCCTGTTTTTCTCTTTGAATTGGATGTCTGTGGGTGCTTTTATACATGCGACTTGGATGTTTCCTATAAGCTTTCGCTCAATCGCATGTCTTTCCTAGTGTCTCCTCCTCAGCAAGTATTTGAGAGACAAATAGAGGAAGAGAGACAGTAGGTAGCAATGCACTCAGTAGCATGTGTGAATAAACGAATAAACTGATAGGCTTTCATGTAGCTATACGTCATGCTTCTCTGATAGTAGACTTCCTTCATAGAACATACTTGTGTTCACTATAAGCTCCTCCCACAAGAAATCCTCTTCCTCGTCTCAGTTACTGGAATATCCTCTGTGGATGGCTAAGGGAAAAGAATTGCCAGGTGACAAACGAGGGAGAGGGAGGCAAACAAGTGCAAGTCAGAAACTAAAATAATTGGTTTGAATTTAAGGTGCGGCTGATTTAGGACCACGGAGATCGGAGTGACGGCTGGCTGGACCGCAGTGAGGTCAAAGGCGGCTGCAAGTCGGATCCACACACGGTAGCTCACTGTTGGTCGGCTTATAAGGATTTGGGGAGGAAAAAAAAGATCGTTTAAAGGATTAAATTGACTCAACATGGCGCCACCTTCCTGTTTGTGGACTGCGAATTACAGGGGACATTTGTTGGAAAGCTTTACTGGCATTTTGTGATGTGGATCAACAAAAGCGGAAAATTATGTGCCAAAAGCACGTGTCATATTTCTTATGTGTAGATATCGCAATGAAAAGGGTCCCTTTACCCTGGCGACCCCACTGTACGTGTACAGATTTTCTTCTGGGAGAGAGGCCGGAACTGTCACAGCCTGGCGTGGACCAAAAAAACCTGGTTTTTCATTCAACTTTCAAAAAATCCCGAGGAGGTTAGGTGAATTCATTTCCAGACAGTCTTTTTGATTTTCACATAACACGTATTTTAAATTATCTGAATATCTAGATTCTGCAGTCAAATAACAGTAGCATTGTGTTTATAGGTGCATTCTTTTGTTCTCATGACTCCAGCTAAAAAGAAAGGTGTTGGTGGGGTAAAGAATGCCAGCCGATCTTTATATACTACTAAGCATGAGAGTGATTGTCAGGAAATCTCAAACATGCAGATATTTTCGTATGTTGCGTCAGATCTGGATCTTTATATTCACTAAACTATATATCACCTATCTCTCTCTTATGAATGATAAAGGACTGCACATTAGGTGTGTGATGATTAAATGAATGGCAATGACCACTGGTCCGGCCATGATATGGTCTCCATTTCTCTAAAATTAGCATTCCTATTCATAGCCACAGAGGGTTTGTGTCTGGCGACTGCAGAAATATCTGCTTTGCTTGCTTCATGTCTAACAAAAGACAGGTCAGCTAGTTTCCATACTTTAAATCTAGAAAAGTGTCATAGCTAGCAAAACATTATCACATTTTACTCTACCAATGGAATTTTGTGTACCATTTGGACATTTTGCCTCATCAGTTTCTGACTGAGTGGTAATAAATTACATTTACTGCAGAGCACAATATGTAGAACAGCAGGACTGTGGACTGGGTAGCTGTTGAGCTCACAGTGATTGGGGCTGTGTAAAGAACACTGCCTGACGGAAAATTAAACCATTTCTACAAGCACGTAGATGCTGACGACTTGTGATCAATGCTGACTGTTTGTTGGTCTGCTGAGCTAGTTGCAGTGTGAGAATGTATGTTGCTTTCCACCGTAGTGTTAATGTGAAAGCCACAATGCATCCGCAAAATGTTAAAAGTTTTGTTCACAGCAGAGTTTTTGACTAGGAGGAGAAGTTGAGGTGTTACTTATAAAATATATGATGACTCTGCTCTATTTAAGAATACCAGTAAGCCATGAGTGTGACACAACTGTGACATGTCAACATGTTTCCTGTTAATAAAGTATATTGTTTATGACAGCCACAGCTTCCCCATAATGCTTCAACCTCACTGAACATTTTCTGTACACAAACTCATACGTTTGCAATAAATGTAATATTTTAAATAATGTTTTACATTCTGATTATATCACAGGCCATAAAGCTATATAAGTGTGTGTGACACCATGTAGTCTTCTATCTATCTATCTATCTATCTGTCCTACAGTAGTTCAAGTACTTTATTCACATTGCCGTTAGCCCGGAAAGTAACCGTCCATGTACTGTCAGAGGTTTCAAATTAACTGGAAAAACGAAAGAAAGAAGACTTCACATTCCTCAAACATCGTAAACATTTAAAAACATGTCCCTTGTCTTCTTGTCTTTGGTACACGACCAGTGACACTAATGACGATGTAAAAACTGCGTCATGTTTCAAAGCAGAATAAACTGAAATATTTCATACCTTTCTCTGTGAATACCATCCTGGGTGAATGCGTTGAGTTCGCCTCTGTCAAACTGCTGAGGCATGAAACTATGAAATATCCCGCAAAGAGAATCATTGTTCAGTTTGAGACTGGGGCAGCGGCGCTCAGCGTCTGTCTGAACCTCGGAGACCCGCAGGAGGTTTTCTCACTGATCCTCTGTTGCCTAAGGAGCGGCATTTACGCACAGCCCCTTAAGTTCCTGTGACGATGACTATGATCTTATATGGTAGGCCTTATACATATTATTGCAACTGAGAAAGTTTAACAGCACAACAACAACAAAACTTTCATTGTCTATCATTAATGTTATTCATTCCAGAAAGTGTGCTTGAATATGACATTTCTGATGTAGATAACACAAATATAATGTAAAAACAACATAATTCAATAACCAGTAGGTGATGCTGGTCAGTCAGTGTGTTTGTTTTCTGATATGATGTAGGCTACACCATGATGGTGACTTTACCAGCCTCTGCCCCTAAAGCAGCCAGGTATCATGGACACTAAAGGACATGTCAACATTAAGCCAAATAAATCTACTGTAGGATGCTTAAACCTCCAGAAGATGGCAGTGTAGGTTCTTGGAACATTCATTTACATTAATGAAGAGGGTGATTTAAAAATGAATTGTACCTGACCAATATATTTTCATGTTGTCAAATCAGATGAGTTATAAGATTGCTTACTGGTTATTTAGATCCTCATCCTTTACTACCTAAGAAACATTCATTGTCCCTGATGTCTAAAGCTAAAGGTTACACAATGTATTCTCATGGAGAAAAAGCAAAGGCAGTTCTAAATCTATCAAACAGCCAAGTGATGTACCTCATAAGGACGGCCTGGTGGGCTGGAAGACTGTTATGAATGCTGCTCTGAAATAAAAACAACTAGTAAAACAACTCAGTCACAAAGCTGACTGCAGTTCACAATCCGAGCAGGTGGCTGAGCTATCACGACACTCAATGAAGGATGACACCATGGAAAAGAACCAAAGGAGTGTGTTATACGAGTAATCAGTGATACACTGTAAGGATTTCATCAGCTGGATGCCGGCTCTGATGAAGAGTGAAGATGCTCAACTCACGTGAGTCAAATGTTTTACCAATGTTAAGTTTTCTCTGACAGTATTCCTGCAGGTCAGCTGCTCTTCATATAGGAGAATTTTTTTTTAATTGGTTTTAAATTCCCAAGATGTGCAACATTATATGGATTACCACTCCAGTAAAAGTTTGCCATATTGGAAGTGGACATGGTTTGGATTGTGAGGAGGAATGTGGAAGAGAAAACGGCCTGCAGGAGGTGCTAGTTACATCTCTGTGTAACATGTCCAAATTTTGCTCTCCATCCAATGATGAGATAGGATGAGTTTCCTAATAATCAATCTCTGATGTCTTGGACTCATTGTCCTCTAACTTCCCACAGATATTTACCCACAATAGATGATGCCCCGTCCAGCTGACGAGGATGAGCCCAGCCAGCCTGTGTGGCAGCTTGTCGTCTCCTTCTGCAGTAAGGGAATGATTGAAGGCGTCATAATGCTGCTCCTCCTCTGGCTCCTCATTCAGGTTCTCTTCATTCAAAATGTGGAAGGTACTCAAATTTACAGAAATTCAAGAGTAGGTGTGTGTCTGCGTGTGGGGAGGATGAGGGGTGAGCCAAGATTATACTGTTTGAAATATTTTTATCTGTTTCTTTTCACTGTGAATTTGTTATACTGTACATAATATTTAATACCACATCCAGAGCTAATAATTATACTGTATAAACAAAATAAACAAGTAATCTAAAGGAAAACATAAATATAGTAAATATAGTAAATATAGTTACCACTGTAAAACTTTCTCAGTCATTTTTTTTTTTTTGTGTGGAAAATCTTTCCCTCAAGTTAAAGCTCTGAGTGATCACTGTCCGAACTAGTTAAACTAGTTCCAAACAAACAAAAGAGTGAATGACTTAACAAATAAAGCTAGTGTCAGTTCTGTTTAATCCTCTTAAAATCTGCCATGTCAGCAATTTTAGATTAAAGCTTTTCTGTGTCCTGACCGGCCCCCTGACCGGCCCCTATATTATGTTAAGTTGGTATATAATAAATAAATGCCATAAAATGAATGTAGAGATTGTAAAGATTTAACACCACCGTACCTCTGATAAGAATGGTGATCTTGTCAATATTATGGTTATTCCGAGACATTAATTGTTTTTAATGAAGTGAAGTGAAAAACTGACTCAGTCTCTGTAATTTCAGAGAGGAGTAAACCTCCAGGAGTATCCTTGTTTAAAATGCACCTTGAACACCCAACACACTGTTGGACAATGCTAAGTTCGCTACATTTAAATGCAAGCGCATTCATCTGTATTCAAATGAGAGTATATTAGACCCACCCACACAAAAGCAAAGAAAAAGAAGAAAAAGTGACCCTGGGTGTTATAATACTTTAATCTGGAGAGACATAAGGCTTCTATTATGAGGCCCTTTAGCCTGAGGGGAGCCATATTTATAGCATAAGAACGCCCATGGTTCATGGATAGTCACTCTGTTTGCCAACAGGCACGAAGATCTCTCCAAGATCAGGGACATTCTGCATTTTGCTTTGTTGAAGGTTAAAGAGCGTGACAGGGTGTTGAGATGGGTGGCCGAGTCCCTTTTCAACAAAAATCCATCGTCTTATTTAAAGCTACCTTGGTGAATTTCTTTTACCACTTGGGGGAAACGTAACAAGATGAAAACAACGACATGGCAAACATGTTAGCAAACACCTCTAGCAGACACAAGAGAAACATTGTTGGCCACCTGATGAATGTAAATCATATATTCACTGCAATCTCTCAGGTTTTGCTCTCTACCGACTCAGAACTTTTAAAAATATCTTGCTTTGAGCTGCTATATGCTCCACTATGTTCACAAACTCAGTGCTTCCTTTGTCGGTCTGCCTTTTGGATCTGGGCAGGTGGTGTACAGCTGGTTTATCACAGTTTTTTAGAAAAACAACGTTGATGAAAGTAGAGTTGCAGTGGCAGTTATCCATTGTAGACTGACAGTGCTGTAGAGCTGAGGGAGGCTGCAGAGTTGGGTAGTAATTCTCTGTTGGTTCGTCACTATATAAAAAATCTGAATGGGTGAACTATCAACCATCTTACTGCCTTCCCATTTAGTCTTTCACAAACAGAATACAACTGATTTGCAGAGAAAGATAAAACACAGTCCAAACCATGGACATGAGTCCCAAAGTCAGGACTGAAGTTAGAATTCTGATGTAATTGCACAGCTTATGGTGAACAGTTAGGTTCAACATAAATCTGGATGTTGTAAGGTTAATACATATGGTTACATTTCACGTATCAGGTAGGGTACTGTAGATGCAGTAATTTGGCTGTGGTATGTGAGTGGTAGCCAGCAGCCAGTGGGGCAGAGGTTGCAGTGTAAGAGACAGTCCAAGTGCAAATGTCTGGAGGAAGGTGTGAGTGAGGGGGTCGGTGATGGGGGAAGAAAAGTTTACTGATTAGAAGATGTGATAGCTAAGGGGACAGAGCAGTTACCTTACAAGAATCTGAGATGCAGTTGGTAAGGATGCTCTTGACGGGGCTAACCCATGAACCCGCCAAAGTATCAAGTGTACACTCCAACAAGCCTATAAATCTGAAAACTCTGGATGCCCTAAAGCTCAGACCTATTTTTACTGACATTAAAAATGCAGCCAATGTTAGTCTGACACATAAGAGCCTAAAAACATACTTGCAAAGAAAAGAAACTGTGATATTCTTTAGTTGAAAATGTGTCACAATTGCATCAGGCTTCAAGGGTTGAGTTTGTTTTTAAGTTCACCTTCTGTCCCACTAGTGGTCATAAATTGCTCGAGGGGCTGGTATTTCCATTTTGGCAGTCTTCAAACTACAGGTCCATAATCATATTTAACTTCAATTAAAATGCCCCTCCAAATTAAGAGTGCACCCCAGGCAATAATGTCTGACTTCAGCAAATATCCTGGTAGGTTGAGGGTTTCCACATTTTACACATACAGATTGTGAAAACATTCAAACTGGTCTTTACAAAGTCTTCTTCATCCGTCCACTTCCTTTTACATTGCCATGGACAGACTCACAACATCGGTAAACACTCAAACCCATGAAAGTGGTATGATGGTCATATCCATCCTTTTGACTAGAAAAAGAAACATGAGGTTAAAAATGTATTATGTCTAAAAATAAAAAGTAGTAGTGCTACAAAAATACAGAAATACTCCTTTCTTCACTGGTTGGGTTTTTCCTGCACATGGTTGTGTTTAGGCAACATTCAAAATGTTTCGTCATTATGTTCATAAAGAATTGAATTTACATTCATTGTGTTTCTCAAAAACTGATCTTCTGTTGCAAATTATTAGCATAAATGTAATTTTATATGTGAAGAAGGAGTATGGACACGCTTTAGTTTCACCTCAAACTCCTCAAACATATTAGTGGATGGGCTTATAATTACACTTTACATAGTGGAGTACGAGTTGATTTCTAAACGCTCACACAGAATGACTGTATGAACATGAACAGTAATAAATTGCAGAAGGATAGCATTTTTGCTACTTCCAATGACTAATCATTAGTTCAGATTGGTCCTGAACAAAAAGCTGATGTTCTCCACCAATAACAATCCCCTTGTTGGAAAATGATAAAGAAACTGGAGGGGAGGGAGAGAAGATAGTATGTGTTCTCAAATGTATGGTCTTTGTATATGGTGAGGAATGACTCACCCTTTCTTTCTATTCATATGGCCTTGTGGTGGATGTGTAGGTGGTAAATCCAAGACAATGATGTGTATGTGACTTGCAGTCTAAAGGGAATACATATATTAACATTAACATAAAGGTTCTTTCTTTCCATGTTTTAGTTGATGTCATCCCGGGCTGTTTTTCCACCAGCCTATTTCCTGACATTTCACAGACATTTTATAGAACAGATAAGCAATAGATTAATCAATAATGAAACTGATTGTTAATGCAGCCTTTTGTTTTTTGGATGACAAAAATATACTTGGGACTGTATGAAAGTTCCTGATGTGGGAATGAAACCTGCAGTCACTTTTACATGGCCCAAATTTCAGGACTCAAGCTACTCTCTATTTTTGAACCAACTGTTATTAACATTGTCACTGAATAAGTGAATGGGGCACAGGCAGC